CACCCCCACAACCGCCCGCGCCCCCGCGCCCCCTTACAGTCGTCGGCTCCCAGGCCCCGAGGCTCCGGCGGCAGCGGCAGGAGCGCGGTCCCCTGCACTCCCGCTCTGCTGGCTCGGGCGGCCCCGCGCTGACCCCGCCCAGGCTCGGCCCCCGAGGGGCGGTCCGCGGTCGGGCCCAGGGCCTCCGGAGGACCGGGTTCAGTCCCGCCCCGCCCCTGTTACCGGTCGGGTCACCAGCCCCCGGGCTGCGCCCCCGCTAGAAGACGGCGCCTCCAAGTGCGGCCCGCGGCCCCGGGTGCAGACTCGGAGCCGAGGCGTTTAGGGACCTGGGGCAGTTCGGGGCAGCCCCTGGGTCGGCTGACTCCGGGGGCGGAGGCGTCCTTCGCGTTTCTTCCCTGCAGACTTCGCTGCCCCTGCACCTCGCACACGTGTGGGGCCGGGCGCGCTGGGCAACTTAAGTCCAAACCCAGTCGTCTGCACGGAAGCAGAAGCTGCCCCCAGGTCTTCCCAGCGAGGACCCGGGTCTGCGGCGCCGACACGGAAGGGGTGGGGGCTGGGGCTCCCCTGACTCGTCCCACGGGCACTGATTGCAGACCTCCGCCCGGGGACGGCCCCGCTTCCCTCCTGTCATGCGCCCAGGAGGCGGCTGTCCGCACGCCCGGCACCCTCAGACCTCAGTCGGCAGAGGGCCCGTCGCGGGGGGGCGGAATGCTGGGGACCCGCCTCCGGCCTGGCCGCTCACCCGGACCCGGGACTCTGCCTTTCAGGGAGAGGGGCTGCTTCTGGCCGGCGGACGCACGACTCATCGCCGCCTCCGGGCCTTGGCTCGTGCCGCAGCCCTGGACAGGATGCCTTCCTGCGGCCGACGTGCAGGACGTGCAGTGCCCCGCGCCTTCATTCTACACCCTCCTGCAAAAGCCCTCTGTCACCCTGCGGTCCTGGGCATCTCTGTACTCGTTCAAAACTTGCCCTCTGTTATCCCCCGCCCCCCAATCCTTCCCCCAAATCTTTCAAACAGAAGCTCTGGCCATTTCACCAAGGGACTCGAATTTGCTGTTATTCTTAAAACGGCAGTAATGATGAAAACATTTTAAAATTAGATCTTGGTGATGACCGCACAGCCACAACCCTGTGAATATGCTGAAAACTACTGATTCGAACACTTTAAGAGGGTATAGTATGTGATTTATATTTCAGCAAAGCGGGTATTTTTTAAATAAAATAACCGCAATGACATAGTAACCTCAGGGCTCATGCCTCTATCCTAACATCCTCCTCCTTGGTTAGGGCATCCGTCCAGCATTAGAATATGAACTCTAAGATAGTGGAGATACTGCTTCCTTCCTTTCTCTTTTTTTAAAGATTATTTATTTGACAGAGAGAGACACAGCGAGAGAGGGAACACAAGCAGGGGGAGTGGGAAAGGGAGAAGCAGACTTCCTGCCGAGCAGGGAGCCCGATGCAGGGCTCAATCCCAGGCCCCTGGGATCATGGCAGACGCCTACCGACTGAGCCACCCAGGCGCCCCGATAGTGGAGATATTTCAAAGCACAATCTGTATCTAGGCAGTCGGTAAATAAATAAGCCAGAGTCCAACTTGGCAGGGCAAATTTCGGACAGATTTCCACTGCTTTTGGTCAAAAGCCACCCAAGGGTTTATGAAGCAAAAGGATAGGTATAATGTGACCGCCAGGATACCTTCTATATTTTTAAAAACCAGAACAAAGGCTGTTCCTGTGGATAAACTCCTAGAGAGTTTCCAGGGACATCAGGTAGAATGAAAAATAACGTGGGGAAGGGGACGCTTTTAAATAAAAACCGTAGATCAGTTCCTGATTCACCACCAAGGAAACAAGATTCTTTATGTCAAAAATGCACGCATGAGGAAACATCAGTCAAAAACCAAATAAAGTAACAGTCTAGAAGCTAATGTCCCGTATCTCCAAAAATGTCAGTGTCAAAACAATGTCAGTGTCAGAAAACACAAAACAAGGCTGAGAAACTGTTTCTCACTGAAAGGCTAACGAATCATGAAAACCAACTGCAATGCTCTATCTGGACTGGGCCCTGGGTTGGGAACAGTTCTAGAAAGGATTTACTGGGGACATCTGAGGAAGGTCTATAGATTAAACAATAGATTATAAATGTTACATATCTTGATTTTGAGAACTGAATTTTTGTTCTGAGTGAATATCTGTGATCTTAGGAAAATATACACTGATGTATTTAAGGAATAATAGAACGCCAGGTCTGAAATTGTTCAATCTATCTCTCTATGGAGGGAGAATCATAAAGGAAATGTTGCAAAATATCAACAATTAGCTACTGGGTAAAGAGTATTTGAGAACTCTTTATACTATTCTTGCAACAACTTTACTGTAAGCTTGGAATTATTTTGAAATAAAAAGCTTAAAAACTTGTGGGTCAGAGAGGGGCACCTGGGTGACTCAGTCGGTTAAGCAACCTACTCTCGGTTTCGGCTCAGGTTGTGATCGCAGGGCTGAGATCGAGACCCCCATGTCAGGCTCCACACTCAGCAGGGAGTCTGCTTAGGACCCTCTCCCTCTTCCTCTGCGCCTCCCCGCACGCCCCCCCCACCCCAACACTTGCTCTCTCTCAAATAAATAAATAAATCTTTTTAAAAATTGTGGATCGAAGAAACATACACATTTATCTCAGTTACTGAAAACAACATGGAAATAACTAGAGGGATAAAGAAAAGCTATATATTCCATAGGGACAAAGTGAACAAGAAAAAAGGTAACAGCAGAGGAGAAACATCAAGTTTCTGTAAGGCTGAAAGTAGGGGGATTGATTCAGCAAAATAAATAAAGCTGAAAACCTTTCTACAACCAGAAGCAGGCACATTCTTGCTCTAGACCTGCAGAGATCAGCAAACTACAGCCCGGGCCAAATGTGGCCCGCAACTTACTTTTGTAAATAAAGTTTTACTGAGGCAAGGTTGCACTTGTTTGCATATTGTCTATGGCCGCTTTCCTGCTACAATAGCAGAGATGAGCAGTTACCCATACGGCCTAAAAAGTTTATTATGTGGCCCTTTCCAGGAACAGTTTGCCAACACCTACCTTACAGCCCTGCAAAGTCTTAGGAGCTACAGGCATCAGGAGCCTCTGAAGGTAGGGATGTGGGTGGGTGTGGGGAATAGCGACCGGCCACACACCGAGTGTCCCTGCATGGCAAGAATTCAAGGCAAAGAATCATAGGGCATGATTGCTTAATGAGGAGAGAGTTTCAGTTTTGCAAGATGAAAAGCATTCTGCAGATGGATGGTGGTGATCGTTGTACAGCAATAGGAATCAACCGAGTTTCACTTAAATGTACACTTAAAAATGGTTAGGGGTGCCAGGGTGGCTCAGTTAAGCGGCTGACTCTTGGTTTCGGCTCAGGTCGTGATCTCGGGGTGGTGAGATCGAGCCCACATGGGGTTGTGCGCTCAGTGGGTAGTCTGCTTGAGACTCTCTCTCTCTCTCTCTCCTTCTGCCCTCCCCCATGCTTGCTCTCTCTCTCTCGCTCACTTGCTCTCTCTAAAATAAATAAATAAATCTTTGAAATGGTTTAGATGGCAAATTTTATATGTGTTTTACTGCAATAAAAAAAAAATTGGGGGGAAAAAACCCTAGAAGGATTAAGGTCTGTACAAGAAGTTATATCCCCTGTCCCTGGTTCTCAGTCTAAGCCCTCATCTTGGCAGGTCAGCGGTCTATTTCCTGAAACTGAACAGAGAGACTTCCCACTCAGGGGCACGCGGCACAAGTAGGACGGGGATGAGGCACCTGGCAGAAAACAGGAGAATCCAGTGAAAGTGTTCACGCTCAACTATGAGTCCCTCCTTGGCCCCTTCCTGCTGTGGGTTCACAGAACACTGCCTCCGGGTAATGACCCCAGGTAGAAGTAGAGGATCGGTCTCTGAAATAAAGGGGCAGTTCCCCGGGAAAAGAGCCACAGATAATGACATTTGGGGGCCTCAAAACACAACTGCTGGCTCCCCGTCTGATCACCCTCTGCTGAGGCCAGTGTGGGGTTACTGCCCGCCACTCACACGGAGCTGCCAACTGGTGTTGCAGTGTCTCAGTCCTAAATATTAAAAGAGCAGACACTTGGAAAGCCTCTGACATGAAAGGCAAAGTACAGAAGGAGTGCTCGAAGGCAACAGAAGAAACGATAACATCCACAGAGATAAGAAATTAATTGTATTTATGAGCAGGAACAGGAGGCAATAGACAAAAGAAGCATTCAGACAGTTAGAAAACACTTTCTGAAATAAAATTTTTAATGGAAAAGTCAGAGCATGGAGTTGAGGAATTCTCCCAGAACAACAGAACACAAATCAAAGAGATAGATGGTGGGGAAAAAAGAAAGAAAGGAAAGAAAGGAAAGAAAGGAAGAAAGGAAGAAAGAAAGAAAGAAGAAAGAAAGAAAGAAAGAAAGAAAGAAAGAAAGAAAGAAAGAAAGAAAGAGAAAAAAAGAAAAGAAAGAAAGAAAGAAAGAAAGAAAGAAAGAAAGAAAGAAAGAAAGAAAGGCAAGCAAAAGCAAATCAGAAGATCGATCCAGGAAGTCACCAGACTAATATGAGTTGCATAGGGGAGAAAAAAGAGGGGCGCCTGGGTGGCTCAGTTGGTGAAGCATCTGCCTTCGGCTCAGGTCATGATCTCGGGGTCCTGGGATTGAGCCCCGGGTCAGGCTCCCTGCTCCGTGGGGAGTCTGCTGCTCCCTCTCCTTCTGCTCCTCCACCACTATCCCCATTATCGCTCATGCTAGCTCTCTTGCTGGCTCTCTCTCTCTCTCAAATAAATAAAATCTTTATTTATTTTAAATATTTTATTTATTTGACAGAGAGAGACACAGCAAGAGAGGGAACACAAGCAGGGGGAGTGAGTGAGGGAGAAGCAGGCTTCCTGCCGAGCAGGAAGCCCGATGCAGGGCTTGATCCCAGAAGCCTGGGATCATGACCTGAGCCGAAGGCAGACACTTAACCACTGAGCCACCCAGGCGCCCCTAAATAAATAAAATCTTTAAAAGAGAGAGAAAAGAATATAAAGAAAAGGAAGTAACTAAAGAAATAATCCAAGAAAATTTCCAAAACCAAAGGACAGGAGTCTCCAGATTG